AGAGGGAACACAAGCAAGGGGAATGGGAGAGGGAGAAGCAGGCTCCCCGCAGAGCAGGGAGCCCGATGCGGGGCTCCATCTCAGAATCCTGGGATCATGACCTGAGCCGAAGGCAGTCGCTTAACCAACTGAGCCACCCAGGCGCCCCACCCAGGACTTTTTTCTTAACATTTATGTAATGCCACAAAGTTTCCTAATGGTTTAAATTTCCTAATTACATTAAAATCTTAATACTTTGTATTCCAGACTACAAACACTTCATTGGAGATACTTAATTGTTTTCTTAGGTAAAAAAAAATAGAGTTTATCCAAAGATAACCTTTGTTTCGTCTCCTTGGTTAATGTGCATTAAGTACATTAACCTCCTAGGGTTCTAGAAAAATCTATTTTGTTTTAAGATTATTTATTTATTTATTTGATAGAGCGAGAGAGCACAAGCAGGGGGAACAGTAGAGGGAGAGGGAGAAACAGGCTCCCCGCCAAGCAGGGAGCCCGATGCGGGGCTCGATCCCAGGACCCTGGGATCATGACCTGAGCCGAAGGCAGATGCTTAACCATCTGAGCCACCCAGGTGCCCCAAAAATCTATTTTTAAAAGGAAGATTTTTTTATGGGGAAAATGTTTACTAAAATTGAAATTAATTTTCTAGTGGCTGTGATTTATGTACTGCAAGACTATATGTCTAATCCTTTATGTTTGGTCTGAGAAACAACAATGCCATGCTGTCCTTGATGAAGAGTAAGAAAGAATCCTTCAGTTCATAATGTACTATTCAATTATTAACTCACCTAGTTAGCTGTTGAGCACCTGCTCTATGCCTGGCCTTGGAGATAGAGTGGCGAGCAAAACTCTTCCTGTCCCTTATCTTTGAAGTAGGCCATCCTCGTGGACTCTCTGGTCCAACTCCTTTTCCGGCCACTGGCTGGAATATGGACCCTGAGTTGGCTCCATGTGTCCAGCCTTGCAGTCAAGGGTAAGGAGCCAGGTGAGGGAGTCCTCACTTAGGCTTCTGGAACCCAAGCACTGCCTTTGGGAAGAGCTTTGCACTGGCGAGAAGAGGCTCTTTGTCCATCGCAACTGACTAGCTATTTTATTCCCATTCATTCAAGGGCATGTAGGAAGCCCTAGGAGGAGTTTCAGAAGGGACAGGTTTGAGGTTATCTTTGGATAAACCTCACCCCCATCCCCTAACTGCTGTGGGCATTATCTTCATTACTGTCTTTAATGGTGTTTAACTTCATACCAGTCGAATCAAAAGCTTTAAGAGGGCAAAGACTATGCCTTATATTCCTTTGTATTCCCCTAAAGAGCTTACTTTGTACGTGGTTTTCACATAGCAAGGGTACAATGAATGTTTGTCTGTGTGATTTGCCTTCTTTTGGAAAGATAAAAGCCACATGTCAGGCAAGATCAGCCAACTGCATGAGTTAAGGGTCAGAATCATGCAGATAAGTCTAAAGAGACTTATATTTCATCCTACTGGAGTTGACTGCTTGAGCACTGAATTATACTTGACCTCCTCTGTGTGCCTCTCTCATAATTCCCCCCACTCCCACCCCCACCAGTACACAAACACACAGATACACATACAACTCCCAGCAGGACTAAGAAAACGGTACAAGGCCAAATTTCCAGGTTAGATCCTTTATAACCAGCTTATTGTACCCTTAAAGATACAACACTTAAGAAAATATTAATTTATTATTTCCCCTTAAATAAACTTCTTTTTAAGTTTTTTATTTATTCATTTGAGAGAGAGAGATAGAGAGAGAGAGTGAGCGAGAGAGAGAGAGAGAGACCACAAGCCAGTGGGGAGAGGCAGAGGGAGAGGGAGAAGCAGACTCCCCGCTGAGCCGGGAGCCCGATGCAGGGCTCAATTCCAGGACCCTGGGATCATGAGCTGGGCCGAAGGCAGATGCTTAAACAACTGAGACACCCGGGTGGGGCGGGGTGGGGTGGGGGTTGGGGGGATGGCATAAATAAACTTCTTAAGCCTTTCTTGAGTGATGAAAATAACTAGTTTCTCTTTGTTAATACGACAAAGACTCCCAGAAAGTAATCACAAAATTGCACACCTGTAAGACCTATAAGAAATGTCCTCCCTATTAAGAATGCAATCGTCTGGGGCGCCTGGGTGGCTCAGTTGGTTAAGCGACTGCCTTCGGCTCAGGTCATGATCCTAGAGTCCCAGGATCGAGTCCCACATCGGGCTCCCTGCTCGGCGGGGAACCTGCTTCTCCCTCTGACCCTCCCCCCTCTCATGTGCTCTCTCATTCTCTCTCTCTCAAATAAATAAATAAAATCTTTAAAAAAAAATGCAATCGTCTGATATAGTGCTATGATTTCCAAAATTACATTCACATTGTCAGGCGATAAAATGAAGCCACATCTTAATAAATTAATCCTTAAATCACTTGAACATACAGCAGTATGATTATCTGACTTTAGAAATGGGAAAGTCTGAATTGTATGGTAGAAAAGAACTTTTCCATGGACAGCAATTTGCCAATAACTTCAAAAGGGTGTGTATAGCCTTCATTTCTGGAACATGGTAATAGGGATTCCTCTATGGTGCTTGCTACCTTTGAATATGAAAGGCTTTTGTGAGCCCTTGACTCTAGAATGAAGGCCAGCAGGCTTCATGAGGCCATGGACCCATCCTGCCCAACATCCAAATCCCACCACACACCAGAGGCTCCTGGATGGGGATTCAGACTGGATACAACTGTGCACCTCCGAGAGACTCCCACTACAGAACCAAGTGCCTTCCTGCTGCAGTATTCTTCAACCAAGTGGTAGGTCGGTCCTGAAAGGAGCAGATACATCAAGTGACGGGGAACTTTGGTCCAATGAGCTACACCCTGGACCAACCTACACCTCCGGACTCGCTGTGGATCCCAAAGCTCCTGGTGACTCAGGGACAAATGGAATAGATGGAACACTAAATCCCCTGTCACCATGTTGAGTCACCTCCCAGGGTATCAACTCAAAAGGACTGGCTGGGCAGTAGACTGTCTGCGATTTTCATTCAGCATACCAATAGAATATCAATCCACCCCCATTCTTTGCGTATTGTCTAGAAAGTTGGAATAATGTAAAAGAAAAGGAGGAATTACATTCCTAAGTGCCATTCAGAAACAGGAAGTTTACAGTCTTTTAGTCACCAGAACTAAATTAAGTCATTAATCATCCTGTTTCTAACCTAAGCCTTCTTGTCTTTAAGAACTATAATTATTTTAAAGCAAATAAATGGCAGAGATAAATAGGTGGGGAGTGTCACCGAAGCACTAGAGTTTAGAGTTTTGCGTATGTGTGTGTATTTCAACAAGGCCAAAAACCCCTAGCTTTTAGAATTTTCAAATAATTCCTTTCAAAAGCAATATTTGGACAATTCTTTGCAGAAGGCAGATGGCACTAAGTTCAAAAGGAAGAAACACTTCAGTGGGAAACTTTGCCTCCTGGAGCCAAAGAAGATAAGCTTTGGGAAAGATTATTTTGGGGGAGGAAGGAGCTTAGGGGAAAGATGATGACCATCTCTACGTTCGAGGCAGTATTAATTGGAGTAAATGTCATCTGCATTTACTCGGTGAGCATTCAGAGAACTTAGCGGTGGTCACGGGAATCCATCCTAACAAGATTAAGCATTCTTGAAAATGATCTCTGAAGCCCGGATCCTCGACTTAACGTTAAGTACAGGAACTGCTTGTCAGTCGGATTCCTGTTTTAATACATTTTGGTCAAAGTTTTCCCAACCAGAAAAGACCAAGGCCTTTGACAAATTAAAAGCAGATTCAAAAGCTGAGGTTCACCTGCAGTGTTTCCAGAGGCTCCCCGGGGCCTGATTACTGGGCATTGAAGGAGCAGGGCTCTAGCTTTGCAGTTCGGCAGCTCAGGCCACTGCCTGTCGGTCCTGGATGACAAGCAGAGCATCCTTGCCATCTCCTGGGGGTCTGTCTTCTGGGGGACCCCGCGGCCAGCACCTAAGCCTGTTTCCCTCACTGCTGGACTCTCACACCCAGGAGAGTGTCTAGCACAGAGGCTGTACTCAGTAAATATTTATTGAAAGACAAGGGAATGAACATCAGCTCTTGGGCAGCCTGGAGCCCCTTCTGAGCTATCTGGTTCAGTATCTCCAATACCTTTTCCAGATGTTTCTCAACGTCTAGGTGTCAAAGACAGCAGTGCCGGTGTGGGAGAGATGTCCTTCCCCAGGGCAATTCTCACACCTGATGGCATAACCCATACCTCCCTGTGGGTGTTTTGGCAGGTGAACATCACACCTTCTTGTCCCTAAGCAATTTTCCTAAATGGTAAAGCTGATGTTTTCACGGTCATTTCATTTATGGTGCAGAAGGGAAAAAGTGGTCGGGACCTCATCCTTAGACTGAAAACTTTGGATCCATGGAAGGGAAGGCTCTCCAGCGTCATCATCATCGAGGTAGCTTATCATTACAAGGTCAAGGAGTGCCTAGAATTTGCCCGTTACACAAAACCCAGAAAAGAAAATACAACACTTGGTGCCTATCAAACAAAGGGCATGTAAAAAACGGCTTTTCATTTGTCAGAGCACTAATTATCCTTTGGATTTATCCTCAGAGCCAAGTTCTGCTTGTACTACAAATATTGATTCTAGTAACAATGAGCACAGCAAGATCGAGGACCAAAGAATACTGTGCACCATGAGACTTTGTTGCAGAAATGGAGGATGCATCCAGGTAAAGTCTAAATGTGATAACAAATTCGCTGATAATAAAACATTTCCCTTTTCCTCTGGACAAGGTGTCATTGGGGGAAGCGTGGTAGAGGTTGGAATAAGCCAGGCTGCTTTTTTTTTTTTTTTAATTCAAACTAGCCACACTTTATTTTTTTTTTTAAGATTTTATTTATTTATTTGAGAAAGAGAGAGCATGAGCAGGGGGAGGGGCAGAGGGACAAGCAGACACCCTGCTCAGTGGGGAGCCCGATCCCAGGACCCCGAGATCATGACCTGGGTCTAAGGCACTGAGCCACCCAGGCGCCCCCTAGCCACACTTTACATACTTGGTTGTCAAGGGACATTTCTATCACTGCAGAAAGTTCTATCTGACAGTGCAATGCATGATCTGACAGGAGGGGGAGTTCAGTACTTCACAAATCAGAAACACAGCAGTAGTAGAGACGAAAGGTCTCACATTTATTCCTGAACCAACCTACTGGTGCAGGGGCATAGTAACAGAGAAAAATCATTTCAATGATAAAGCATGTGTATGGCCACGTAGGAAGGATGTTTACAGAGTGATAGGATAGAACACATGATCTTCACACAACTTAATTGAATATGTGGTGCCAATTAGGTGTGTCATCTCATGATGTGTGACGTTTTATAGACCCAGCTTGGTTCTTCTCCAGTGCCTCTTGGAGTTGTACTTGATTTTATTACCAGTTTTCATCCGAATCCACTGGGGAATGGGGTGATTCTGCTTTTGTTTCTTGGCCAGGAATCGCTTGATTCTGAAAGTCTTGTGAGAAGACATGGTGAGAAACAGTCAGCCACACAGAGCAGGATGGCGGCGAGAAAGAGAAAAAAGCTCCAGGCTGCTTTTTAATCTTTAATGAAAGTGCCTTGAACTGGGACCAGTTCCAGCTTGCTTACAGATATCGCTGACTGATGGATGGAAAGTTTCATACACTGTCCCACTGATACACTGAGCCCCTGACGGCCCAGGAGACAGAAATGTTCTTAAGCCATAAATGTGGAAAGTGAAGACTACTTTCTTGAGTACATGCTAACACAGCCCTAAATCAGAGGGAGAACAGAAAAAAGGAGAAGAGGAAAAATCGGGACATGAAAGCAAGAAGAACACCAAGAAAGTAGAGAGAATGAGGAGCACGTGGAACAGGAAGAGGAGGTTATTGGGAGGTAATTCAAAGAATGGATTTAGCCTAGAAGTACTAGACTTCTGGTGTTTGGTACTTCATGATGGATAATCAGGCTGGAGTCTAAGACCCAAGATCGGATCAAATACACGTGTAAGCTGTACCATGGGTACACATACCTGATCCAGACAACCAGTGGAGGTCAAGTTCATGGATGGAGGCAAAGGACCCCAGAGACCCAGATATGCCTTTTGGGAAAGACAGCTGGGGCCCCTTGCAAAGACCCGGATTCAGAAACCCTGCAATACTGTCAGACGTGAGCCGGAGTGGGCAGTGAGGAAGGCCCTTGCATCAAGGTCTGGGTCAGCTCTGAGAGGAGCCAACAGGCACATTGACCTTGATACTAAGCCAGCCTCTTCCAAAGCAGGCACTGTTAAGTCAGTTGTGGATACGATGGAAGACACTCCGAGGCTCACTGAGATGGAGAACTATGGAGACCCTCTGCAGACAGCTCCCGTGGAAATGGCGGAGGGACAAAATAATGTTGAGTCTGACAGACGTGGTTTCCAGTCCCTGATCCACCATTTGCCAGCTGTATGAGCTTGTATATAATTCACCTAATCTCTCCAAATCTCCCCTTTTTCACCTGAGCAATGGAATCTTTTGGGGCTCCTCCTCAGCCCTCAGGCACTGGAACATAGTTTATAGTCAGTGTTCATTCTGATTGGTCAGCACTCAAACCGGATCAATCGTTAAGTATTACTCCCTGGGAGTAATAATGCCTACCTTGTGGAGTTATTTTGAGAACTATAAATGATATGCACAGAGCAAGCTGTACATTGCCCAACACAGAGTAGGTACTTAAATAGTCACTGCTATTATTTCATTAAAATAGTTATCACCATTAGCTAATGGTCCACCATTGTCGTGGACTGAACTGTGTTCCCCCCAAATTCATATGTTGAAGCGCTCACCTCCAACGTGACTATGTTTGGAGACAGAGTCTTTAAGGAAGTGATTAAGGTTAAATGAGGTTTTAAGGGTAGGGCCCAGGTCTGATAAGAATGGCGCCCTTACAAGAAGAGAAAGAGACACAGAACTCTCTCTCTCTCTCTCTCTCTCTGTCTGCCCACACACAAGGGAAAGACCACAATGAGAAGGCAGAAATCTATAAGCCAGGAACAGAGGCCTCGCTAGAAACCAGTCCTGCCAGCACCTTGGAAAAAAAATAAGAAATACATTTCTATTGTTTAAGCCACCCAGCCTGTCCTATTTTGTTATGGCAATCCAAGCTGACTAATGCACTGGCTGAGTGATTTACATTTGTAGACCAACGACAGACTCCACGATGATGCTGCTGGCAGAATCCCTGACTGGTTTGTGCCCCACAATTTAGAACAGGAAATACTCTGAATGGATTTTATTTTATTGAGTCTAACCTCAGCAGGGTTGGAGTCTGTCTTTTGATCTATGGATCGTAAGGACTATCCTTCTGTAGAGAATTCTATGTGAATCAGAAAATCTAGGAGGGAGCCTCACAATCTCACATAATCCACATAATGATCACCTCTTTCTCTTTGGGCACAACGAGGACGGTCTTTTTCTGGGTTGTAAATCTTGTTTTATTTTTGCGGGGCTCAATCCATAATGTCAGAATACACTCATATATAGACTATCTCTGGAAGTATACACAAGAAACTAGAAATAATAACTTTCTTCAGAGGTGGAATTGAAGACAAGGTGAAATTTTTTTCATAATGTGTCTATACTTTATGCTTTAAGGAGAGTATTTTAGCATTTTAATCTCAGTAAGTTTTTTTTATTAAAGTCTAATTGACATCCAACATTGTATTCATTTCAGGTGTACAACATAATGATTTGATATTTGAACATATTGCAAAGTGATCACCATGATAAACCTAGTTACCATGCTATTAACATATTGTTTTACAGTATTTCTTTTTATACCTCTTGAATTCAACATTGACCATATCCAGAAATAACATTTTATTGAAGAAGAAGAAGAAGAGAAGAAGAAGAAGAAGAATGGGGAGGAGGAAGAAAGGGAGAGGAGGAAGAAGAGAGGGAGAAGGAGAAAAAGAAGAAGAGGAGGAGAAGAAGAGAAGGAGGAGGAGAAGGACGAAGAGGAGAAGAGGGAGGAGAAGGTGGGGGGAAGCTTTATTTTGGAAATAAAGAGGAAAAGGAGGGCTTCCAAAAAGTGACACAGCAATTTTTACTCTGGGTGCACATTTTTCACATAAGGGGATTCCTCCCCCTTATTAGGGAATCTTTTTTGGAAGAGCAAAAAAAAAAAGAAGGGAAACGCAGCTGGCTGCCTGTTCCATGGATGACCTGCTTTCCTGCCCCTGCTCAGACTCCTGCTAATCCTTCAAGCATCCTCACGCCATCTTCATCGGCTTGACATGTTCCATCCAAAGAGTCATTCCTTTTTCACATTTACATATCTCCAGGAGAACCTTGTGCTGAATCCACACATTCTCCACCCTAAGACAGACAGACTCTATTCAGAAAAGGAGGAGGGACTGTCACTGACGAGAGAAATCCTCCGGTCAAGGCCACAGCCCCGCTCACTGGCTATAGGATTGGCTGCAAGAGGTGGGCAGAGTGGTCCGTGGAGAAGGAGCAAGGGCTCAGAATTCCCCCTTTTTGGTGGTTAAGACAGAGTTTGGACCTGATTCTAATACTTGTCAGGAAAGGCCTGTGATAAATTAAATGATCGCAAATAGAAGTTGCGGACATTAGGAATTTGTGTTTAATTGGCTGCAAGTGTTAAAGATTTGGCAGAAACTTCCGCGGACAACAAATGTACACAGTGGGGAGCACACAGTGTCCACGCACCGCGTTCCCGGTCAAAGACAGCAGCTCTGTGCTGCCCAATTCCGCTTGAAGGCGGTGACAGGGCTAAGGCACCCACTGTCCTACTTACAATGATCAGGGGAATGGCCTGGGGCCGAACAAAGAGAAAGGGCGGTCCTAACCAAGGACTGGCCCCTTTCGTCCCATTTTCTGTCCAAGTCACGTCCCCTGTTAGGAAATATTCATGAGGAAACTCCTTGTCTCTCTTTGAAAATTTAACACAAAAATAGAACATAAAATAGAGAACAAAAGAACAACATCCACAGAAATATCCATTGTAGGGAAATATAAAGTTGATTTCAGGTGACTTTTTTTTTTTTTTTTTAAGTGGGAAAATAGGAGCTTTCGTTTTACTGAACAAGAGATAGAATAAAAACAGAATTCTGTAAGACTGACTTTGGAATCAAAACATGGCATACCTCATTAATTTGGAACAAATTGTGCTAACCAATTTAATTTTTAAGCCAACAAGGAAATACAGTTTATAGGTTATGAGGTGATACACAAACATGGTTTTTTTTCTTAAAGACTTTATTTGAGAGAGAGACAGCATGCAAGAAAGAGAGAGAGCGAGCGCGAAAGAGAGCATGAGCGGGGGAGGGGCAGAGGGAGACGACGGAGAAGCAGACTCCCTGCTGAGCAGGAGCCCGATGTGGGACTTGATCCCAGGACTCTGGGATTGTGACCTGAGCCAAAGGCAGACGCTTAACTGACTGAGCCACATAGGCGTCCCCAAACAGGTCTTGAGCTGCTATTCTATCCACCTTACGTGTGTTTACAAAGTCCACATGCATATCCCTGCAGGATTCTGTGCTCCAGTGCTCTAACATGCTCTGGTGAGGCGATCTTGGGCAGGTACTTCAGCTCTCTGAGCCTTCGTTCTCCCCTGTAGAATAAGGAAAATAATACACCAACAAGACCATTGGAAAGATTCCCTGAAATAATGCTTGGAAGCCCCAGATTCCTATGGGGTATGAATTATTATTACTGAAAACAGCGACTCAGGCTCACCCTTCCTAGGAAAGTTCAGAAAATGTTGCCTTGACCGGTGGCTTCTTGACCGGTGGCTTGTCTCCGCCGATGGACGGCAGCGCATGAACAAATGGAGGAAAATCATCTAAGCAAGGAACAGAAGAGGGTACGGCACTGTGAAGGCCAACCCCAAACAACCAAGATGCAAACCTGTGGGGACAGAATATGGAAATGTATTATGGGAGTGTCAGGGGGATGTGACATTGGGGGGGTGAGGGACCCAAGTCAAGCCAAGCTCTCGGCCACTACTAATGTAAAGATTTGCCTATTTGGGATACTTCATATAAATGGAATCAGACAGTATTTGTCCTTTTGCTTTTGCCTTATTTCACTTCTCATGTTTTTAAGATCCGTTCGTGTTATGGAATATATCAGTACTTCATTTCTTTTTATAGCTGGATAATATTCCATTACATGGGTACAATACACTTTGTCTATCCATTAATCAGTTGACGGGCATTTGGATTATTTCCACCTTTGAGCTATTACGAATAATGCTGTTATGAACATTTGTGTACAAGTTTTTGTGTGGACACATGTGTTTTCTTCTCTTGAGTATATATACTTGGGTGTGGAATTGCTGGGTCATATGATAAATCTATGTTGAAGCATTTGAGGAACTGACACACTGTTTTTCCTCTAGGGTCTCTTCTCTAAGGGCAATAATTCCATTCATGAGGGTTCTACCCTTATGTCCTAATCACCTCCTAAACACACACTTCCAAATACTGTCACATTGGGGATTAGGTTTCAGCATATGAATTTTGGGGGGACACAAGCCTTCCATCCATAGTAGGAGCTAAATCAGCAGATGAAAGTTTTACTGTGGCTCAGAGTCTGACACCACAGGAAGGTTAGAGACCAGTGAGTCTTTTTTTTTTTTTTAAGATTTTTAAGTATTCATTTATTTGAGAAAGAGAGAGAAAGAGAGAATGAGCAGGGGGGAGGGGTAGAGGGAGAGCGAGAAGCAGACTCGATCCCAGGACCCTGGGATCATGACCTGAGCTGAAAGCACTTAACCGACTGAGCCCCAGGCACCCCAAGTGCTTATGTTTTTTTAATCAGAAATAATTTGAGTTCTTCTTATCAGCCCCATCTACAGGCCACAGTAAGTTTTAAAAGACCCGAGACTGTGTTGGCATTGGAGGCATCACCCAACCAGGGATACCCAGTGCCGCTTCCAATCAGAGTCTGATCAACTAGGAGGTCCTTGAGGTCTCTTGTTTTGCAGCATGATTCTATTTTGTAGGAGTACTCCAAAAACAATATGTATTCAATCAGAACTCTTCATTCCCCTCTTTTTTTTTTAGGATTTTACTTATCTATTTGTCAGAGAGAGAGAGAAGAAGCAGGGGAAGTGGCAGGCTAAGGGAGAAGCAGGCTCCCTGCTGAACAAGGAGCCCAACACAGGGCTCAATCCTAAGACCCTGGGATCATGACCCAAGCCAAGGCAGACGCCCAACTGACTAAGCCATCCAGGCGTCCCTTTATTCCCCTCTTCATCAGAATCTTTCCCCTCTAGAACCAGCATCTGTCAGTCCGTTTCGGTAAATTTTTTCTCCTCCTTCTTCCTCCTCCTCTGCTCCTGCCCCAGCTTGCGCTCTCTCTTTTTCTAAAATAAATAAATAAATAAATAAATGATCTCAAAAATAAATAAATAAATGGATAAAAACCAGAACAAAAACAGAGAATTTGTATCGGATTGAAAGGAGGAATGTTGGAACCAATGATCAAAACTATGGAAATGGAGCTAAAGAATGTTCCAGAAAATAAATTACTATTGATGAGAAAGAAGGAAATAAGAGCAGCAAAAGAACAAACAATTCTTTCACTGAATAAAGTATGAACATTTGTGTGAGCCAAAAGAGCAATAGGAAACCAGAACATGTCATTCCAAAATCAGGACACATTTGTTTAATTAATATTGGTCGATGCCCTGAGTCACTTTGCTTCCTGTTAGTTTAATCATAGAAATGAACAGGATACAAAATGTTGTGAAGACTCTATTATTCAAATTAAGTATCTATCTAGGCAGTGAGCCTCTTAATCAGTGGCTTTCAAACATTTTTTGACCCTCAGCCACAGTAAGAGATGTATTTTACATCAAAGGCTGTCTCTCACACACACACAAAAGCTTCACATTACCTTTACTATAGGCAATGTGCTCTGATATTTTCTTTCTGGTCTATTTTATTTTATTCTATTTCTTGTTTTTAAAATGCTGTCAGAGGGGCCCCTGGGTGGCTCAGTCGTTAAGCGTCTGACTTCGGCTCAGGTCATGATCCCAGGGTCCTGGGATCGAGCCCCACATCGGGCTCTCTGCTCTGCGGGAAGCCTGCTTCTCCCTCTCCCACTCCCCCCACTTGTGTTCCCTCTCTTGCTGTGTCTCTCTCTGTCAAATAAGTAAATAAAATCTTTAAAAATAAATAAATATTAAATAAATAAATAAATAAATAAATAAAATGCCCACTAAGTCTATATCATGATTCACTCATGTGTTGCAGTTCACAGTCTGAAAAGTATTTATCAAATGGCCTGATCTGCAATGTCCTAGTTTCTTAGGACCACCTGGGACTGCGGCTGCAGAGAATCTCAGACCTGCCTTACAAAGGCAGCTTTCTCCAGCTCAGACCCACAGCCAGAGTCCCTGGAATGTGTGCCAGACTTCCCAGCTATGTTTCCAGTGGTTTTCTCCCATCTCTTAGGGGGATGTGGTTCCTGTCCCTCCTCCAAATTGCTTGGGAAGCCAGTGCTCTTGGCAAAGCAAGACAGCATCCTCAGGATAACTGTCCCTTCTCTTCACCCATCTTCCTTTGGTGTTGCTGCCCTTGGACACTACCAAGACACCAGGATGGTGTCTGTTTCCACTTGTGGCCCAAGTTGACCTTAGCCATGGTTCCATTCTATCAGACTTGCTCCCTCTGGTTGCACTGCTGACCCGGGCATCCCTGCTTGCCCAAGACACCCTTCCCAGTAGCTTCTGGGTGGCATTCCCTCTCCCTCCTGGTGAAAGAGATGGGTTGACCGAAGTGTGTGGGATCTATTGGAAATCCCCAAAACCCTCTTCACGGGTCCTGGACCAAGGAACATAAGTCCTGGTAGGCCATGAGCAGTGAGCATTTGGAACAAATATGAATGTGGGTACCATTAGTTGCAAAATTGTATTAAAATTGCTACCTAAAATTGATTCACAAATAAAATCACCTTTCCTTACAATGGCATTGTTGAGAAATTCTAGGGTACTGTTGAACTCTTGTCACAAAGTTAGAGGTTTGGGTAATATACATATACATAGTGTGTTTAGTTTTTTTGTTTTGTTTTGTCGTTTTGTTTTTTTAAGATTTCATTTTATTTCATTTTATTTATTTTTAAAAAGATTTTATTTATTTGAGAGAGGGAGAGTGCACGAGCAGGAGAGGGAGCAGCAGAGGGAGAGGAAGAAGCAGGCTCCCCACAGAGCAGCGAACCTGATGCAGGACTCCATCCCAGGACCTGAGATCACGACCTGAGCCGAAGGCAGACGCTGAATGACTGAGCCACCCAGGCGCCCCATAGTGTGTTTAGTTTTAACATACCACCATCTACACAGTGAGTCCTCAGAAGGATACTTATTGGTTAAATATAGAAAAATTTGAAAATATTAAGTTAGCTTCTGGACTAAAAAATCTTTTATTTATTTATTTATTTATTTATTTGAGAGAGAGAGACTGAGAGAGAGAGCGCATGAGAGGGGGGAGGGTCAGAGGGAGAAGCAGGCTCCCCGCCGAGCAGGGAGCCCGATGCGGGACTCGATCCCGGGACTCCGGGATCATGACCTGAGCCGAAGGCAGTCGCTCAACCAACTGAGCCACCCAGGCGCCCCTGGACTAAAAAATCTTAAGGTTGGAGTGACTCTAGAGTTAATCTAATTTGCTTCCATTGCTATTTGCATTCCATGTTCCTAGATTAGTTAGGAGTACATTTGGCTGCAAGTAACAGAAAATCTGACTGCTGTGGCTTGAACAAATAAGGATGCATCTTTCTCACGCAGCAAGGTATCTGGAGGTAAGCAGTTGCGGTCAGACTGATCCTCCCTGACTCTCTTGGCCTTTTCCTTATGGTTTCAAGACAGCTTCTGCAGCTCTTAGCATCACATCCGT